GTTCGCGTGTTTTTTTTGTTCCAATGTCCCTCGGTCGCTGTGTTGATCGGAGAAACCACGGAAAACTACCGATCAGAGCAACCGGCCGCTAGAATTCTCCTGCAGACAGCGACTGAACACGACCTAACTGACTAGCTAGAGCGGAAAATCCTGCCACCCAGCCGTTACTCTAAGGGCCCCTTCCGGAGACGTAGCGACGGCGGTGCGCTTCCGAGCAGCGCGGCGCGTAGCAGAGCGTTGGTTTAAGAGGAGGTCTTTCCACGTGCAGCGGGTGGCGGCTGCTGCGGCAGCCGACGCCGAACTCCAGCTACGCGAAGCGGAGGAGGGGCCACGCGCCACCGCTAGCAGAACACAGCTTTAAATGGGAACCTTCCCACTGCGCCGCCGGTCGCTGCGTTTTACGTGCTGCGGTCCCTTTGTTCGACGTCGCCGGAGGGTCGGCGAAACATACCCCTGCAGAACCCCCCCCCCCCTTTCACGGCGGGCGGCGGTGCGGCCGTGGCTCCGGCGGTGGCAGCGTCGGAAGGGCTCTGCTGCTTGAAGGAAGCGCGCCGCGCTCGCGCCGTGGGAAGGCGCGCATAAAGCTGCGTTCTGCTAGCGGTGGCGCGCACGCCCTCCACAGCTTCGCTTAGCGAGAGTCCTCCGCCGCTTGCCGCAGCGGCCCACGCCCGCTGCACGTGGGAAGCGGCCCTTGCAGTCATCGTGGGTTAAGCGTACAAAGCACCACTGCCGACCGCTCTGGAGCCCCGAAGGCCGAGGGAGCGGGTGAGGTGTGGGCGGTTATTTTCGTGCTCTTCTTTGGGCCCCGCCGAGCAGCAGTGGCGGCGGTGGCGGCACACCCGTCTCTCACGGCCTTGACATGGCTCGGCGGTGACGTCACTGCCCGCTACACGCCGCCGCCGCCGCCGCCGCCGCTGTCCGCTCCTCCCTCACGGCTTCGGCCACCCGTAGCGCTCAGGGCTCGTGGCAGCGAAGAATAGAGAGGCGTCAAAGACTTAGCGTCCGAATAAAATTAGAATGTAGTTGACTTTTCCGTGGTCACGTGATGACCAACATAGGGCCGCAACATAGGGAACAGCCAATCACAAGCTTCGGCTTTCGCACATTGTCGTCGCCTAAAATTAGCGAATAAATGCTACGAGCAAATAAATATTACGAGCAAACAAGTGTTTCGAACCAATGAAACGACTGTTATTAACCGAACAAACCCGTTAAGAGTTTCTCAACATTCCTTTGTTCTCTTTGCCTCGTTAGTGTTTTAGAGAGCGAGGTAGAGCGTGGAGTATGCGGCAACGTCGCCCCCTTTCCACACCCAAATGTCAACTACATTCTAATTTTATTCGTATTATTGTATTAGATGGTGTACTACAGAGTATATTGTTAGATAAGATACGGATTTCGTATGTCCCAGTTTTCCCGAGGGAGTACCGGATTTTTAACCTTTGTTCCGACAATTCATTTCGGGGTGCTAACATGTCCCGGGTTTTTATAAACACAAAACCGTTCGGTGAACAAGCACATGTTCTGATAACATGTACGGTTATTTTGAATCCGTGACCTTCGAATTTCCCGATGAACTGTAGCTCAATTGAACAAATATTCGTTAAAAAGATTAGTCTGTTTGTATTTCTTTTCGTTCGTGTATTTAGTTGTTCGTATTCAAAATAAATGCGAGCAGTTTAACAAAAATTTTTTTAATAAAAAAAAATAACAACATGCTCGAGAGAAAGTGTTTTCAACGATAATTTAAAGGCTCATTTACCATGTACCAGTATTCGATATTCCAGTGATCGATTAGCATTCGATATAAGTCGCACTCTAAATCCGGCGGGCTAGGAGCTTTCACTATCGCTTCATTCGATTTCGTGCTGGCGCAAGCGCGGAGGTTCAAAAGAGCAGTCGATTGTTCTCCGCCACGCCGCGGAGCATACACAACCCTAATGATGTCAAATGGATGCTCATTCCTTCGTTGTAATCGCTTACATGTTTTCTGCTTCGACATTTCCTCTTGTGACCTTTCCGTCCGATGAAAATACAGTGCGTCATTAGAAACGACTAAAATGACGAAATGTCGTGCTATTTGTAGTTCTTGAACAGTTCTTAAAAAAAATACTCCCATCAACATTTTTTGTTAACAATTATGTTACGTTATTTTAAAAGTTAGTCTTGACTTACGGAGCGTAGACTTGCCTTGTGATTAATGATCACTAATAATGTCTTAACTTGATCCATCAATCAAAACGTTTCATAAACAGGCGTGACTAAACAGCTGTCATTCATTTTTGGAATAAAAATGATGTCAACTTGTTTTCCGAATTAATTCTAAGCCTAACTTCTCTTCAGCATTTGCACTTTCCAATAGCATTATCCTGCGCGGAAAGAAACTGGCCTATGCATCAGGATGCGAATTGGTAAATGTCTTCAGTCTGTAACATCCAACGCTCCAGGAGAAGACAAATCGAAGAACTAATCAGAGAAAACCAAGACGATCTTGGCTTGCGCAACAATGGGGGTGAATTCTAAGAATGCTCTCCAGTACATTTTCTTTTCTAACTTCGTATTTATGGTTGCTTTGATTTTGGACGAAATAAAGTATGAAGGTCACAAACGATGCAGATCATAAATTAATTGTATCCCTGGGAAGTATAAATTAGTAGTTTTCCTACAGTTACCAATTAACACTCTAGTCGGGATAAATTCACCAGCACCCCCCCCCCACTCCCACCCGTCAATTCATCACCTGTATGTAGTCAGAGTGTGGCGTAGCATGATAGGTGCATTATCTGTCCATTGAAGTAAAATGCACGAACAATCTTAATAGTATCTAGCTTATACATTCCTTCAACTTCTTTCTACCTCCTCTTTCAATATCCCGAGTTTGCGTCCAATCCCTCGGGAGTTCTAATTCGGAGAATGCGCTTCCGCAGTCTAATTTTAGGATTGACAGTTGGGCGGCGACTAAGTTTCCATGGCAACGACAGGCGCCGAGCCAATCGAGTATGAGTTACGACAACCACCGCTGCGCTGCGTTGCCGATGCCACGAGATATCAACATCCCCACGTCCGCCACCGAAAGCACAACTGGAGTTCGGGCGTGGCTAGCTGCGCACAGCGATGCAGCCTGCATTAACATTGATTGAGCGTAATCGAGGTTTACTTTTTCCTATAAAACTAGCTTGGCGGTTAAAAAAAAAACACTTTCTGTTAAGGTAAGAATCAGTGAGTTAGGCAACACCGCTTCATGTGCTCACTAGCTGTCAGAACTCAAGATAGTTCTCCTGGCATGCGAGTTGAATTTCTGAACCAATGAACCAGCAAGGAAAAGATAAAACTCAAGGAAGGGGAACCAGGGGTGACTGAACCCAATCTGTTTTCCAAGTCTTAATTTTGATGATGATCGGTTGTTTCCGGGGACGTCAACAGATCATTAGTATCGCAAGTGTAGTGCACATTTTATTGCGGGTCGGGGGCGGTGATCAACGGGTGATCTTCACCCTTGGAATGGTGAGATCCAGTACCAAACTACACGTCAACTTGCCGGGGATTTCCCTTTCGAGGTATTTTCACAACAGTACATCACCACAGCCGGCACAAGCTCGTCTCCCGACACGTGTTCAGTGTATATAAGTGTGTGAGTACCGGGAGAGGTTTGGCCAAGGAAAAAGAAGGAAAGCTCGCACGCAGTAATTGGACCGTTTGTTAGGGTTCTACTCCGGCATTCGTCTGGTTTGGATCGGAGAAACCACGGTAAACAACCGATCGGGGCAGCCGGACGCTGGAATTCTCCTGCAGACAGCGGCCGAACTCGGCCCAAGGACCAAACAGCTAGTGTCGAAACCTCTTGCTACCATCGGAACTCGAACCTAGCATCTCCCGCACAGAGGCCGCGCAGCGACATCACCTCTTCGGGTGGGGCTGATCGAAAGGAACTGT